TTTTTTTTTTTTTTGTTTTTTTTGTTTTTTTTTTTTTTTTTTTTTTTTTTTTTTTTTTTTTTTTTTTTTTTTTTTTTTAAGGGAAATTCATTACTTACCCACTCAGCTGTCATTTGTATACACAAAGAACAGTAACTCTGAATCTCTGTTTGAGTGAAGCTGTTTCCACAAACATTTCCTGCTCCTGCCTGACCTACTGGCTTTTGGTACAAAGTGCAGAGATATGAGAATCTTCTTACTCTTTCATTTGACTAAAACTGCTTAATGTTTACCCTGATGCTGACTTAAGTAGAATATGCTGTAATTGCTGTATTGTCAGCTGCTGCTGTTGCTGACTTCAAGTGTCAGTTGTTCTGGTGATAAATAAATTACATGGAAAATCGGGTCTGTCTGCATCTGATATGATTAAGCTGTTAGTATTTATAAAGGAAGTATTTTTTGTTGTTGTTGTTTACTGTATAACTTGTGCTAGCCTGGAAATAAAATCCCCTTCTAGTCAGGAAACACTTGTTATGGAGAGAGATGTGAACAGGAAGGACATTGAGGTGCTGCAGAGGGTCCAGAGAAGCGCAGTGTAGCTAGTGAAGGGCCAATAGGGTAAGTCCTGTGAGGAGCAGCTTCGGGAGCTGGAGCTGTTTAGCCTGGAGAAAAAAGAGGCTCGGGAGAGCCTTGTCGCTTTCTACAAGTGCCTGAAAGGAGGTTGTAGCCAGGTGGGAATCGGTCTCTTCTCCCATACAACTACCATTAGTACAAGAAGACATAAGTTCAAGCAGCACCTGGGGAGGTTTAGGCTGAACATTAGGAAGAATTTCTTCACATAAAGGGTGATTAGACATTGGGAATGGGCTGCTCAGGGAGGTGGTGGAGGAGTCACAGTCCCTGGAGGTGTTTAAGGAAAGACTTGATGCCATGGTCTACTTGTCATGGTGGGTATTCGGTCGTGGGTTGGACTCGGTGATCTCGGAGGTCTTTTCCAACCCCATTGGTTCTGTGACCGTGAACTTGACCAGCGGCAGCAGGACGGTAAGCTCTGAGGAGGCAGCGCCGTGACCTCTGTGGCAAAGGACAGGCATCAGCGCAGCCGCCGCCGCCGGCGGCCCAGCGCCAGCCGAGGGCCCGCGGGAGCTCCGACTGTGCTGCCCTCGGCATTGCTGCCTGACTCCTCTTAAGGAACCAGAAGTAGCGTAGGTGAAAGACCCATCGCGGCTCTTCCCCGCCAGCGGGCAGCCGGGCCGGGCGGGGCGAGGGCCGCGCTCCGCCCCGGGGTGGAGCGCGGCCCTCGCCCGGCCCGGCCCGGCCCGGCCCCGCCGCTCTCCAGCTCCGCTCCGCGCCCTCGCCATGGCCTTCGCCACGCGCCACTTCGTGCGCGCCGCCTCCTCCGCCGCCGCCACGGCGGCCGCCAAGAAGCTGATCATCAAACATGTCACGATCATCGGCGGCGGCCTCATGGGCGCCGGCATCGCCCAGGTGAGCCCCGAGAGCCCGGTCCGAGCGGGGGTGAGCGGAGGCGGCGGCGGCGGCGGCGCCACCATGGCGGCTGCAGGGCGGCCGGGGCTCGGCCAGTGCGGCCGGAGCGGGGCTGGGGCCGGGGCCGGGGTCGCGGTGGCGGGGGAGCCCCCGCGCTGCTGCTCTGGGCGGTCCCTTCGCTCCGCTCCGCTCCGAGCTGAGCCCGGCCCCGGCGCAGCGCCCAGCGCTGTCCTCGGGCGGGACGGGGCGGGCGCAGAGGAAGTTCGAGCGACACGAATGAAAACCACAAAATGAAACGTCCCACTT